GTGAAGTAAATATAATTAAAATAAGAAAATTGAACAAAATTTTTTTTTTAAATAAACGTTTATTTTTTTTTTTTTATTAATAAGGAATTTAAATTTTCAACAACTGAGTCTGTATTGTTCAAGATTTAAAAACAATTGGTAGGCCTATAACCTTTCTACTCCGTTCTTTCATAATTATGTTGACACCTCCTCGGACAGAAAAACTATTTACCTGATCAGCAACTTGTTAATATAATTTAAAATTTCTAAATGGCAAGTATCTGCCCCTTATTAACTCTAAACGGCAAGTATCTATCCCTTATTAACTCTAAATGGCAAATATCTGCCCCTTATTAACTCTAAATGGCAAGTATCTATCCCTTATTAACTCTAAACGACAAGTATCTATCCCTTATTAACTCTAAATGGCAAGTATCTGCCCCTTATTAACTCTAAACGACAAGTATCTATCCCTTATTAACTCTAAACGACAAGTATCTATCCCTTATTAACTCTAAACGACAAGTATCTATCCCTTATTAACTCTAAACGACAAGTATCTATCCCTTATTAACTCTAAACGACAAGTATCTATCCCTTATTAACTCTAAACGACAAGTATCTATCCCTAATTAACTCTAAACGACAAGTATCTATCCCTTATTAACTCTAAACGACAAGTATCTATCCCTTATTAACTCTAAACGACAAGTATCTATCCCGTATTAACTCTAAACGACAAGTATCTATCCCTTATTAACTCTAAACGACAAGTATCTATCCCTTATTAACTCTAAACGACAAGTATCTATCCCTTATTAACTCTAAACGACAATTATCTATCCCTTATTAACTCTAAACGACAAGTATCTGCCCCTTATTAACTCTAAATGACAAGTATCTGCCCCTTATTAACTCTAAATGACAAGTATCTGCCCCTTATTAACTCTAAATGACAAGTATCTGCCCCTTATTAACTCTAAATGACAAGTATCTGCCCCTTATTAACTCTAAACGACAAGTATCTGCCCCTTATTAACTCTAAATGACAAGTATCTGCCCCTTATTAACTCTAAATGACAAGTATCTGCCCCTTATTAGCTCTAAACGACAAATATCTGCCCCTTATTAACTCTAAATGACAAGTATCTGCCCCTTATTAACTCTAAATGACAAGTATCTGCCCCTTATTAACTCTAAATGACAAGTATCTGCCCCTTATTAGCTCTAAACGACAAGTATCTGCCCCTTATTAACTCTAAATGACAAGTATCTGCCCCTTATTAACTCTAAATGACAAGTATCTGCCCCTTATTAACTCTAAATGACAAGTATCTGTCCTTTATTAGCTCTAAACGACAAGTATCTGTCCCTTATTAACCCTAATGACAACTATCTGTCCCTTATTAACTCTAAACGACACGTATCTGTCCCTTATTAGCTCTAAACGACACGTATCTGTCCCTTATTAGCTCTAAACGACAAGTATCTGTCCCTTATTAACCCTAATGACAAGTATCTGTCCCTTATTAACCCTAATGACAAGTATCTGCCCCTTATTAACCCTAAACGACAAGTATCTGTCCCTTATTAACCCTAATGACAAGTATCTGTCCCTTATTAACCCTAATGACAAGTATCTGTCCCTTATTAACCCTAATGACAAGTATCTGCCCCTTATTAACCCTAAACGACAAGTATCTGTCCCTTATTAGCTCTAAACGACAAGTATCTGTCCCTTATTAACCCTAATGACAAGTATCTGTCCCTTATTAACCCTAAACGACAAGTATCTGTCCCTTATTAACCCTAATGACAAGTATCTGTCCCTTATTAACCCTAAACGACACGTATCTGTCCCTTATTAACCCTAATGACAAGTATCTGTCCCTTATTAACCCTAATGACAAGTATCTGCCCCTTATTAACCCTAAACGACAAGTATCTGTCCCTTATTAGCTCTAAACGACAAGTATCTGTCCCTTATTAACCCTAATGACAAGTATCTGTCCCTTATTAACCCTAATGACAAGTATCTGCCCCTTATTAACCCTAAACGACAAGTATCTGTCCCTTATTAGCTCTAAACGACAAGTATCTGTCCCTTATTAACCCTAATGACAAGTATCTGTCCCTTATTAACCCTAAACGACAAGTATCTGTCCCTTATTAACCCTAATGACAAGTATCTGTCCCTTATTAACCCTAAACGACACCTATCTGTCCCTTATTAACCCTAATGACAAGTATCTGTCCCTTATTAACCCTAATGACAAGTATCTGCCCCTTATTAACCCTAAACGACAAGTATCTGTCCCTTATTAGCTCTAAACGACAAGTATCTGTCCCTTATTAACCCTAAACGATAAGTATCTGTCCCTCATCAACGTGCCTGGTGGCCTCCCATGAATAAAAACATTCGTGGACAACAGCCCACCGCCATCATCTGGCTCGATGAAATAATTCTAGTAAATTATTCATCTTATCTCCCCTTTTGAATTTAATCATATTCTAGTCCACGGGTTCCCAACCTGGGGGTCGCGACCCCCCTGGGGGTCGCGAAGGTCTTTCTGGGGGGTCGCCAACTGGTTTACTAAACCTTAGAAATTTGAAACAAAACATAAATATTTAGAAGCATTTTTTAAATTCGGCTTCATTAGCATCACTGGAAATGTAATAGAGAAGAAACAAAGCGCACTGTAAAAAAGTTGTTCTCAGTAACGAATCTATGAAATCTTCAAAACTAAAACGCCATTTGAGACGAGTCATTCGGAACACACCAGAAAATATATGGAGTTCTTTCGTCGGTAAGAAGCTAGTTGCAAACGCCAGAGACTTGATCGAACAGGAAGTTTTCACCAGCATTAGTGCAAGCATCAAATGAAGTCGCGATAGACAATGCCAAGCAAAAAAAAAAAAAATAGGAGAAAATCTCACCAAACGCTGCATGTACGTAAATGTTAAATAAAACATTGTTTGCCTTTCAAGTTGATAAATCAACAGACGTGAGTTCGTGTTCGCAGTTGCTGGTCTGTGTCTATATTCATGCGGGCTATAGCAAAGAAGAGTTGCTCTTTTGTGAAGATAGCATGGAGAAAATAAATACCTTTTTTGAAATTGGATGATTAAAATGGGTTAGAACGGCTATGGGGGTTTGTACGGATGGTGCGCCATCTATGTTTAGCTCAAAATCGGGCTTTCAGAAAACAGAAAAGATTTAGCTCCCTAACCACTGCACTAACCAATCGACATCAAGAGTCCATTGCTAGTATAAGTCGTAAATTATATAAAATCTGGAGCCTTCAAAAAACTGAGCAAAAGCATTAATATAGATCACGAGGTTCTGCTCTTCTACACTACAGTACGCTGGCTGTCAAACGAAATGTTGTAAATTGTGTTTTTTAATTGAAATCTGAAATCAAATTGTTCTTGGAAGTGCAAAGGAAACAAGACTTTTTGGTATACTTAAAACGACATAGAGTGGTTGGAGAGAGTATCATACCTAGCAGATGTGTTCGAACATCAAGATAAGCTTAAACTGAAGCTTCAGGGAAAATGAACGAATATTACAATTTTCCATGATAATCTCGGGGCATTTTTATCAAAGCTGCAAAATCGGTAAGAAAATAATTCTTGGAAATATTGTAAATTTGAGAAACTCTGCGGTGTGGTAGATGAATCTGATTGTGAGATAATTAAAATTTTGAAAGAAGCGATTTCTGGGCATCTTGAATCTCTGAAAACGAACTGCATCGCTATTTCTCTGAGCTGAAAAAAGAAGAATATGTATTTACGCATTACCCATTCTCTTCTTCCCTTGATGTTGCCAGCATTCCCGATGAATTACAAGATTAATTCTTTGATTTGCAGAATGATTCCGAGTAAGATGAAAAACTGCAGACACAATTTTGGTTTAGTATTCACCATTCATACCCAAACGTAAAATTGATTGACTTTTTGAGAATATATTTTCAACACTATTCTTCGATTAAAAACAAAATTAAAATAATTATAATGACATAGGTTGGCGTTAACAAAAAAAATTTTTAATTAAAAACTTAACCACGAAGGTTTAGTGAATAGTATGCAATTTTACTCATGCTATTAAAATAGTTATCAAGAGTTGTTCATATTGAAGGTCTACTAGAAAATCTTATTTTATTGCTTATTAATTTCTATACTAATTTTTAATTCTATGGGGGTCGCGGGTCACTTACTTTTTATAAAAGGGGGTCGCCACTCGAAAAAGGTTGGGAACCACTGTTCTAGTCAATTAGTTTTTCATGACTAATAAAATATTTAATTGTTTTGAAAATAAGATATTATTGAGTTGTTATTGGAAAGGAATATACATGTTAACGAAATCGCTTTGATAAAAGCAGTGTTTCTTCCATACTTTTTCTCTGGGGGGGGGGGGGGGGGGTTGATATTTGGGGGGGGGACGGGGGACGACGACGACTAAATTTCCGGGGAGGTGAGGGCTGGCAGACGCTGGTAAAATATATATTATCTATATAAATTCCATTTCGTTCGGGTGGGTAGGGGGGGGGGGGGATTTTTTCGGGGGGGGGGGCGGCAAAGAGATGTCTGGAAGAAACTCTGTATAGAAGTAGGTCAAAATTTAAGTACACCCACCCTCAGACCGACGTCACAGTGACCTGAGTTTAACCGTGTAAAAATAAATGTATCAGCAGACACTACTAGCGAGTAATTAATTAGTAGCAGATCTAGATCTAGTATCTTAAAATAAGAGCCTTACATTCGTGTTGATGAGCCTACTAGCACAGTTTAATTGTTAGGTCTACAAAAGTAAGAGCATCGAATCCGTGTTTTTAAGGAACCCGTCAAGTCGGGGGTGAAGGAAAAAAAGTGTAACAAACTAAGTCACGGGTCAGCACCGCCCCAGTGATAAGAAACCCAGTGACGATTCAAAGCTGGAAAAGGCTGGCAATGTCCCCCGCTAGTCGTTCAGCGTTCAATCCGCGGCCCAGTCAGGAAGTGTAACAATGACGTAGCACGCAGCGGTTTGTATAAAACATTGATCGGGTTAGTGAGCAGACATAAGACGATACTAAAGGAAGGAGTGGGTTTGTTGGAGAAGAAAAAAGTAAAATACCGCAGTAAACACAGGCAGTGACATTTCACGACGGATGTTAATTAATTAAGTTGATATCCTAATAAAGAAAAAACAACAACCAAGGACTTGGCCTATAAAAGAAAGCATGCACTTTTGAGTGGTCAGCCAAGGTAAGTAGTAAGTAGTAGTGGTCACTTGTGTCCGTTTTTATTTTTTTAAACATATTTTCTCTACACCATTAGGCATTATTGTTTACTTGTTTATACTATACTACTTGCATTCTTTTAAACTTCGTTTGAAGCATATTATTAAATTATGTACCAATATGTACTGTCAATTCTTCTGTCAATGTCAACATTCTTGAACAGCATTTTCATTATAGCGTCTAGTTATTATACAGCATGTTAAGTAACCACAAAGCTTATTATCTCTACTATAGATATACTTATTACTATTCCTTTAAACTTATGGAGTCATGTAACTAGTAGGCTAAAGTAAAGAACTTAGCTCACAGTCTGTATGCTATTTCTATTGAAATTCAAATCAAACTTGAGATTATGCTACTGTTTACTGATACAGCCTTTTCGTTTAAGGGGTCATCCATAAATGACGTCACACTCGTAGGGGGGAGGGGGGGTCCGTAATTTTGTGACGATGTGTGATGAGGGGGAGGGGGGGGTCAGATGTTGCGACGTCACATTTTTGCATTATAAAAAAGCAATGTTTCAAAACGAATTTTAGACGTTATTTCGCGTTTTAGATAACTGTTTTAATAAATTGTAATAGTTTAGACAAGATTTTGGAAAAATATCGATGTTTTTAAAAAATTCAACTGCAATTTTGAGGGGGGTTGTAGGTTGAGGTGTGACGTCATTTTAGGGGGGGGGGGTCTGGCTTTTTGTGACGACGTGTGACGGAGGGGAGGGGGGGAGGTAAAAATCGTCAAAAAAAGCGTGACGTCATTTATGGATGACCCCTAAAGGCAGTTTTTGTATTAGAATATAAGCATTTTAGTGCTTAGATCTATGCGTTAAACCAAATGCATGTAATAAACAAAGTAATTAATATAAGTGTTCAGAAGATCTAAAAAAAATATGGCCATTATTCGCATCCTGTCACGATGTTTATCAATGGAACAAATTCTGAGAATTGAAACGTAGAAGTTGTGTGGTTCACAAGGTCGCTATCAACATTAGGACGTGCTGATAATTAATGTCTCGCGTTAATTACCTGTTTGGTCATTTGGTAGGGTGCAGTGCAGGTATATCAACATTAGGACGTGTTTTGGGTAAAAAAAAAAACAACTTTAAACTTGATCATTAACGTTTTCTGATCAAAAACATTTTTTTGGGGAAAAAATAATCGCAAGATTGTTCCGGAGTATAAAAGAGTAAAACAATTCACAATTACAGGATTAGAGTTGAGAGCAGTTGATTGCTAATCAGTAAATCAATTCTTTTTAGCTAGCATGTGATCTAGCTAGCTGTTATCTAGCATAAATTACAATTGTTTGATTACAATACACCCATTGTTGTCAGACTGCTTCGAAAACTTCCTCAATAAGTTACGTTTTGTGTCAGTAACAATTTAAATTTTTAATGGACAAAAATGTTTAGGAGTTATCTATCCATTTCTGGTTTTTGTTACACTTTTTGACTCGACCACATTACGGACACTGACCAATAACACACAACAGGCCAACACTTTGTTGACCCGAGGTCAGACATGCGTGGTTCATTGTAGGTCAGACAGGACCGTTTCAATGGAATAATTTCAGCATTGTGCTCATTTCTATTTAGTGACCAACATGTTTACCAAAAATGTGATATTTTTTTTCATTTATAATGCACGTGAAGACTGTTGGTGACATTGACTGACGACGTCTGTCATTCGGTCAAACCATCTGGATTATCTACACAACAGTTCTAGATTATCTACACAACAGTTCTGGATTATCTACACATCCTACTGTGGTTGGACCTTCTACTACAAGTTCTAGCGGTTGATCCTTAAGCCCTCTGTGTATTTAAAAGGGAAAGGTTTGTAAATAACTTAATGGATCTTCCAGACTTTGGTAGGGGGGGGGGCTAAAATTTCCGTTGAGTGGACACTGTTAAAAGTGTATATTTTCTATATAAATTCCATTTCGTTAGGGGGTTTGCGGTACTTTCTTCCCCCAAGCGATGCATGAAAGAAACTCTGCACATACTTCAGATCTTTTCACCCAACACTGCGGTCTTTATTGGCCGTTGGTTTTTACAAACTTTTGTTTCGGTTACAATGTCGGTTTGTCTATTTGTTTGTTTGAGTGAGTAGACTTACAACTAAGTATATTTTTAGTGCGTTTAAGCCCGCTAATATAAATGTTTTTATAGATGGTTTGTTTCCTTTTTATAGGCTACCGATCACTGAAACAATGGGATAGTTTTTTTAATGGGAAATGGGGTTAGATTTCTCTCATATATATATGGGGAAACATTACTTATTATCTGCCCATTAATACTCCATACAGCTTAATGTCTTCTATAATATTGATAATCAAAGTCACGTGATATTCTTCGATCTAACTAAGCACGCGCCGTAGTTTATAAATAGACCTATAATTTAGGCGTCTGTTAATTTAATTAACCATCGATAACGCTAGTGGCTTAAAGTTTATATATAGACGCGGGCTATAACGAGTTCAGTGAGAAGGTTGGACATACCAGCTCGACCTTGTCTCATTAACTGGACCTAGTCTCACTTCAACTGGACCTTGACTCACTTCAACTGGACCTTGGTCTCACTTCAACTGGACCTTGACTCACTTCAACTGGACCTTGCCTCACTTCAAATGGACCTTTTCTCACTTCAACTGGACCTTGTCTCACTAACTGGACTTGGTCTCAATTCAAATGGACCTTGTCTCACTTAAACTGGACCTTGTCTCACTTCAATTGGACCTTGTCTCACTTCAACTGGACCTTGACTCACTAAGTGGACCTTGTCTTACTTCAACTGGACCTAGTCTCACTTCAACTGGACCTTGTCTCACTTCAACTGGACCTTGCCTCACTTCAACTGGACCTTGTCTCACTTCAACTGGACCTTGTCTCACTTCAACTGGACCTTGTCTCACTTCAACTGGACCTTGCCTCACTTCAACTGGACCTTGTCTCACTTCAACTGGACCTTGTCTCACTTCAACTGGACCTTGACTCACTAAGTGGACCTTGTCTCACTAAGTGGACCTTGTCTTACTTCAACTGGACCGTGTCTCACTTCAACTGGACCTTGCCTCACTTCAACTGGACCTTGTCTCACTTCAACTGGACCTTGACTCACTAAGTGGACCTTGTCTCACTTCAACTGGACCTTGTCTCACTTCAACTGGACCTTGACTCACTAAGTGGACCTTGTCTCACTTCAACTGGACCTTGTCTCACTTCAACTGGACCTTGACTCACTAAGTGGACCTTGTCTTACTTCAACTGGACCTTGTCTCACTTCAACTGGACCTTGCCCTAACTGGACTATATTTTTGAAAAGCAAGCTTGAGTTCAGTTCCTGTCTCAATTGTGTAATTTATATCGCGTTTAAAATTAACTTTTTAATGTCGTGTGTGAAAGTGACGGCCTAACCCCACCTTACCAGCACCCAAACAGCAAGGATAGTCTAAGGCTTTTTACCGCAAGCTCCCGCCACATTTCGTGTTGTGCCAGACCAGATTTAGATGATTAGTTAAAACATTCATTCTTCTGAAATACTCTGACATTTATTTATCTGTAATGTTTTAACCCATTAGCGACTGTCCCGTTGTCCTCAGTCATTCGGCTATTCTAATATCCACAGCCATTATCCATTACCCACTGCTATTGTCAAATTGTCCACATCCATTACCTACATCTACTGGCCTATATATCTGCCTTTACTCAACCAGAAAAAAATAAAAGGTATTTAATCAGTATAACTATGTCTAAACACAGCCTACTAATTTCCTCTTTGATCGGCGACCAGGGTAGTTACCCCCCCCCCCAACACACACACACATGGTACAGGTAGACCAGACTGCCACTGCGTCATTATGACAGGGTAGACTAGACAGTGGGTGCCATGATACTACCCCATAGACTGGGTAGACTAGATAGTGATGGGGGGGGGGCATGATACTACCCCATATACTGGGCAGAGGCCATGATACTACTAGTCCATTGATGTAGGGACCCAGTCTAGTCCATTGATGTGGGGACCCCGTCTGGTCCATTGATGTGGGGACCCCGTCTAGTCCATTGATGTAGGGACCCCGTCTGGTCCATTGATGTGGGGACCCCGTCTAGTCCATTGATGTGGGGACCCCGTCTGGTCCATTGATGTGGGGACCCCGTCTAGTCCATTGATGTAGGGACCCCGTCTAGTCCATTGATGTAGGGACCCCGTCTAGTCCATTGATGTAGGGACCCGGTCTAGTCCATTGATGTAGGGACCCCGTCTAGTCCATTGATGTAGGGACCCGGTCTAGTCCATTGATGTAGGGACCTTGTCTAGTCCATTGATGTAGGGACCCCGTCTAGTCCATTGATGTAGGGACCTTGTCTAGTCCATTGATGTAGGGACCTTGTCTAGTCCATTGATGTAGGGACCCCGTCTAGTCCATTGATGTAGGGACCCCGTCTAGTCCATTGATGTAGGGACCCGGTCTAGTCCATTGATGTAGGGACCTTGTCTAGTCCATTGATGTAGGGACCTTGTCTAGTCCATTGATGTAGGGACCTTGTCTAGTCCATTGATGTAGGGACCCCGTCTGGTCCATTGATGTGGGGACCCCGTCTAGTCCATTGATGTAGGGACCCGGTCTAGTCCATTGATGTAGGGACCCCGTCTTGTCCATTGATGTGGGGACCCCGTCTTGTCCATTGATGTGGGGACCCCGTCTAGTCCATTGATGTAGGGACCCGGTCTAGTCCATTGATGTAGGGACCCCGGTCTAGTCCATTGATGTAGGGACCTTGTCTAGTCCATTGATGTAGGGACCCCGTCTAGTCCATTGATGTAGGGACCCCGGTCTAGTCCATTGATGTAGGGACCCCGGTCTAGTCCATTGATCTAGGGACCTTGTCTAGTCCATTGATGTAGGGACCCCGGTCTAGTCCATTGATGTAGGGACCTTGTCTAGTCCATTGATGTAGGGACCCCGTCTAGTCCATTGATGTAGGGACCTTGTCTAGTCCATTGATGTAGGGACCTTGTCTAGTCCATTGATGTAGGAACCCCGTCTAGTCCATTGATGTAGGGACCCCGTCTAGTCCATTGATGTGGGGACCCCGTCTGGTCCATTGATGTGGGGACCTTGTCTAGTCCATTGATGTAGGGACCTTGTCTAGTCCATTGATGTAGGGACCTTGTCTAGTCCATTGATGTAGGGACCTTGTCTAGTCCATTGATGTAGGGACCTTGTCTAGTCCATTGATGTAGGGACCCCGTCTTGTCCATTGATGTAGGGACCCCGTCTAGTCCATTGATGTAGGGACCCCGTCTAGTCCATTGATGTGGGGACCCCGTCTGGTCCATTGATGTGGGGACCTTGTCTAGTCCATTGATGTAGGGACCTTGTCTAGTCCATTGATGTAGGGACCTTGTCTAGTCCATTGATGTAGGGACCTTGTCTAGTCCATTGATGTAGGGACCTTGTCTAGTCCATTGATGTAGGGACCTTGTCTAGTCCATTGATGTAGGGACCCCGTCTTGTCCATTGATGTAGGGACCCCGTCTAGTCCATTGATGTAGGGACCTTGTCTAGTCCATTGATGTAGGGACCTTGTCTAGTCCATTGATGTAGGGACCTTGTCTAGTCCATTGATGTAGGGACCTTGTCTAGTCCATTGATGTAGGGACCCCGTCTTGTCCATTGATGTAGGGACCCGGTCTAGTCCATTGATGTAGGGACCCCGTCTAGTCCATTGATGTAGGGACCCGGTCTAGTCCATTGATGTAGGGACCTTGTCTAGTCCATTGATGTAGGGACCTTGTCTAGTCCATTGATGTAGGGATCCCGTCTAGTCCATTCATTGATGTAGGGACCCCGTCTAGTCCATTGATGTAGGGATCCCGTCTAGTCCATTGATGTAGGGACCCCGTCTAGTCCATTGATGTAGGGACCTTGTCTAGTCCATTGATGTAGGGATCCCGTCTAGTCCATTGATATAGGGACCTTGTCTAGTCCATTGATGTAGGGATCCCGTCTAGTCCATTCATTGATGTAGGGACCTTGTCTAGTCCATTGATGTAGGGACCTTGTCTAGTCCATTGATGTAGGGACCTTGTCTAGTCCATTGATGTAGGGACCTTGTCTAGTCCATTGATGTAGGGACCTTGTCTAGTCCATTGATGTTGGGACCCGGTCTAGTCCATTGATGTAGGGACCTTGTCTAGTCCATTGATGTAGGGACCCGGTCTAGTCCATTGATGTAGGGACCCCGTCTAGTCCATTGATGTAGGGACCCCGTCTGGTCCATTGATGTAGGGATCCCGTCTAGTCCATCCATTGATGTAGGGACCCGGTCTAGTCCATTGATATAGGGACTCCGTCTAGTCCATTGATATAGGGACCCCGTCTAGTCCATTGATGTAGGGACCCGGTCTAGTCCATTGATGTAGGAACTCCGTCTAGTCCATTGATGTAGGAACTCCGTCTAGTCCATTGATGTAGGAACTCCGTCTAGTCCATTGATGTAGGGACCCCGTCTAGTCCATTGATGTAGGGACCCGGTCTAGTCCATTGATGTAGGGACCTTGTCTAGTCCATTGATGTAGGGACCTTGTCTAGTCCATTGATGTAGGAACTCCGTCTAGTCCATTGATGTAGGGACCCCGTCTAGTCCATTGATGTAGGGACCCGGTCTAGTCCATTGATGTAGGGACCTTGTCTAGTCCATTGATGTAGGGACCCCGTCTAGTCCATTGATGTAGGGACCTTGTCTAGTCCATTGATGTAGGGACCTTGTCTAGTCCATTGATGTAGGGACCCCGTCTAGTCCATTGATGTAGGGACCCCGTCTAGTCCATTGATGTAGGGACCCGGTCTAGTCCATTGATGTAGGGACCTTGTCTAGTCCATTGATGTAGGGACCCCGTCTAGTCCATTGATGTAGGGACCTTGTCTAGTCCATTGATGTAGGGACCTTGTCTAGTCCATTGATGTGGGGACCCCGTCTGGTCCATTGATGTAGGGACCCCGTCTAGTCCATTGATGTAGGAACTCCGTCTAGTCCATTGATGTAGGAACTCCGTCTAGTCCATTGATGTAGGAACTCCGTCTAGTCCATTGATGTAAGGACCCCGTCAAATAAGTCCCGCTAGCTGGAGACAACAGCCCATCTTGGAAAGGAAACTCCAAAATGAAACAGTTGCTTCCTTGCAGATTGTTCTTGTGTAAAATAATCCAGAGAGAAAATCCGGCAGTCAGAGAGCCTTCCAATCACGTTTTATAACATACCTTGCTATATATTTACAGCCGTGGCAGTGGTTCCAGCACGAATACCCCCACCCTGTCACTTACCCCTCGCCTTATCACCTTACCCCTCGCCTTATCACCCTACCCCTCGCCTTATCACCCTACCCCTCGCCTTATCACCCTACCCCTACCCTCGCCTTATCACCCCCTCGCCTTATCACCCCACCCCCTCGCCTTATCACCCTAGCCCGCTACCGTTTCCACCCCCACCCCGTCACGTTACAGTTAACTCACATAAAAAAACACACCCCACACTTCTAGATCTGGTTTAAGTTTGTCACACCTCTATTTATAGCTCTCTGGGGTGAACTTGAGAGACAGGTCAAGGTGATTTTTGTTTTATGTCATAGAACTTGCGAGAATCTTCGAATGGTCTGTACGAACAATAATAAGGGAGAGTTTGTGTTATATAAAAACGTTAATCTTCCGTGACATGAATTCAGTGTTTAAATTTTCCCGTGTGATCTACTTCATATTGCCCTCCTCTTTTGTCTGAATAGTGGCAGACTCACAACTTGTTAGGACTTGACATCAGACGACCTTTCACCTGCGAATGCCCTCGTTTTGACAACACGTGTACTCAACGTCTGCGCCTGTCGAGTGTTCTAGAGCAGGGGTCGGAAGAGCCAAAAGTTACAATTTTAAAAATCTCCCTGGTTTTAAAGAGCCACTAACATTTTTTATTAAAATATTTTATTTTTTGATTATAAGATTATTAGTATTTGTGCAAGGAGCTGGAGAGCCGCATCTTGATATCAAAAGAGCCGCATGCGGCTCGCGAGCCGCAGGTTGCTGACCCCTATTCTAGGGGGCAACGGCCACGATTTTTAACATCGTGTATAACACATGTGACGTAATATTGTCGGGTATAACACATGTGACTTAATATTGTCGTGTGAAACCGGGTTGGGAGAGGAGGGGGTGTCCTAAAACAGACTAAAAGTGAATATTTCAATATAGATTCTATTTCGTTCCTCCCACACACGGGAGACAACCGAAAAAATACATCATTAATTTATTGAGCTTCTAACCGCATCAAGGGAGACAATAGGTTTATTGTATACTGTGAGTAGGTTTGCCTGGTTGTGGGTAGGTTTGCCTGGTTGTGAGTAGGTTTGCCTGGTAGATGGCAGGTTTGCCTGGTTGTGGGTAGGTTTGCCTGGTTCTGGGTAGGTTTGCCTGGTTATGAGTAGCTTTGTGTGGTTTTAGGTTGGGTTGTTTGCGTTCGAGTAGGTTTGGCTGATGGAAGATAGTTTTGTCTGGTTGTGAGTAGGTTTATCTGATTGAGAGTAGGTTTGTGTACTTTTAGGTAGGTTTGTCTGCGTGTGTGTAGGTTTGACTGAGTGTGAGTAGGTTTGTCTGGTTTTGAGAAGGTTTGCCTGATGAAAGGTAGGTTTGTCTGGTTGAGGATAGATTTGTCTGATTCCCGTTATTAACTTATTAAAGTAGCCTGCCTGAATTAGCATAAATGACAAACAAGATAGCATTAAAATTGGCTTAGCTCTATGCCTGTCCTATTGATCTTCGGAGCTTTGCCCTGTCGTATTATTCTTTGATATTTTGATATTTAAGCCTTAATTATCATGCATGACAAATTTTTTCTAATACTAGATTTTTTTTTCAGACGTGTAGCATACCACACTGTGTTTATATATATATATATATATATATATATATATATATATATATATATATATATATATATATATATATATATATATATATATATATATATATATATATATATATATATATTTATATATGCCAATGTTTTCATTTTATTGATACAAATTGAATTATTAGAGAAATTATTTTCTCCACATGATTCTCAATGTACTCTATCTAAAAGTTTCAGCACATTTTTCTTTTATTACAGTAGAGCCAGAACTCAAGAAGTGTCAACCAGAGTGGCAGATATTTTCACTTGTAACACTAGGTGTACACACAAACAATGACAAAGGAAGAAACTGTTATCAGTGACATGCCCAATGGTCAAACAGAGCCATTAGAAAATGGACATAGTAAAACAAATGGCACAACGTCAGCAAATGGGGCGAGCCATCATCAGACTAATGAAGGCAAAGATGTCGAGGACATAGAAGAGGAAGAGACAACGTCTGGCTGTTGTGGGAAAAGTAAACCAGCTAAAAAATCTGAAGCGGTTGGGGTCTTAGAGCTGGTAGGTTAATCTAAAAGTTATTTACTTGATACATGGTTATACCAACATCTGTACACATTGTCACCTCATAATATAACAATTCCTCAAATATCCATGTTTATTTATTTCATATACATATGTTTTTAAATTATACATTTATATATCCTATTTTTTTAATAGTTTCAGTTTGCAACCTGCTTTGACATAATTCTGATGGTCATTGGCACTATAGGAGCTGTAGGCCAAGGGGTGACAATCCCCCTCAACATCGCTATCTTTGGTGAAGTTATTGACGTCTTTCTCCCAGATTACAGCAACAGGTTGTTATATAAAAACATTCAATTTAAAACTGTTTTATTAATTTATTAATAAAATGTAAGAATCACAGTACTTCTACTTTTGGAAGTAAAAGTTATCATTTTATTTTCTGTAATACTCCTACTCAGAATTATTACAAGCTATATGAATGCTTTTAATAGCTCTGCTACATAAAGTGCATAATGTTTTGTTTTGGGTTTGAAAGCTCCACTGATTCTAAAACCATTGGTACTAAATTAAATGAGCCGTTGAGCTGTTATCTGAACATGAGACCTACTGTGTAGAGTTACAGCCTACATTTATACATTTTATTTGTAGGGTAGTTGATTTACTCTGACCATATGTAAGCAAGATGTTAACTGTAGGGCTGGAAGCGCTCCTTTACCCTGTCTCCAAGCACCCATAAAATAATCTGATCTACCCCTTTGTAATTATCCTAAATAAAATGGATGAAACTTTAATCAGTGACATAAAGGAAACAGAAAAAAAAATCTCAAAGAAGAAAATTAAAAATTAAATAATCTTTATGCCCACAGCACCACAAACTCAACAGATCATGAACCTTTACAGGAAAAAGTTCTGCCGTATATTTACTACTTTATCGGCATTGGTGTTGGCTCTTTTATATGCAGCTTTTTTGCTATCAGTTGTTGGACATGGGCGGCAGAAAGACAGGTATTTTGTTTAAGAATCGTTCATATTTAGGTTCATAGTACTATGTCTAAGTACAATTAAACATCTACAAATATTGAAGTCTTTCCTGCATAGCAAAATTTAATAAAGTCTAAAAAATGTTTGCTTATTCTAACGGTCTCATATATCCAGGTTAGCACAATGAGAAAAAAGTTTTTTCATTCTGTCATGAGACAAGAGATTGGCTGGTTTGATGTACATGAGGCAGGGGAGATAAGCTCAAGATTTTCAGAGTAAGCTCCCTTTATTTACTCCACTCAGGAAAATTCAGCACACATAGCAGAAGTAGTTTCATAGAAAGCTGGTTAGGAATTTATAAGTTTTTTCATATTTTCTTAAATTGATTTTAAAAATTGTTTCAATTTTTGTTTGCCTAAAAAATATTGTAAAAGACACATTAATTTTAGCCTAGATATAATTTTATTATCTGTGTATATGAGTCTTTTGACAAAAATCTATTAATCTGTAAATTTTAATTCTCATAATGGACAAAATATGTTTTATATTTTAGGAATGTGAATAAAATAATTTATCTATTTTAGTATAATAATGGATTTATTCTAGGGAAGTGAATAAAATATTTTATGTGTTCTAGGGATGTGAATAAAATATTTTATCTATTCTAGGGATGTGAATAAAATATTTTATCTGTTCTAGGGATGTGAATAAAATATTTTATCTGTTCTAGGGATGTGAATAAAATATTTTATCTATTCTAGGGATGTGAATAAAATATTTGATCTGTTCTAGGGATGTGAATAAAATAGCTGAAGGGATGGGAGATAAAATGGCTGTGTTCCTGCAGTGGGTGTCTACATGGGCAGCGGCCTATGTCATGGCCTTCACAAGATCCTGGAAGCTGACATTAGTTGTTGCCATATTCAGCCCTCTTCTGGCACTGGCTGGGGCTTTGATTGTCAGGGTAAGTAGGTTTTTATTGGCCAGCTCTTGGTAAATAGATTTTTATTGGCCATATCTTGGTAAATAGGTTTTTATTGGCCATTGCTTGGTAAATAGATTTTTTTGGCCATCATAGGGTGAATAGGTTTTCATTGGCCATCACTTGTTAAATAGATTTTTATTGGCCATCACTCGGTAAAAAGTTTTTTTTGGCCATCTTAGGGTGAATAGGTTTTCATTGGCCATCACTTGGTAAATAGATTTTTATTGGCCGGCCATCTTAGGTTAAATAGATTTTTATCGACCATGGGATGGTAAATACTCTGGTAGTCTGGCACTAATAAAGAGCTAACAAAAATCTTGCCAAAACAGGTGATGAGAAAGATGGCCAGCAAGGAAACAGCTGCATACGCCAAGGCTGGGGCCATAGCAGAGCAGGCCCTGAGGTCAATACGGACTGTTCAAGCCTTTCAAGGTCAAGAGAAAGAAGTGACCAAGTAAGTTAAGAAGTACCAATTTTTTTATTTCTTGCAATTTTTTTTTAACAACTAGAACTGCTCCTAAACATGTCGATTTTGACACCATTATTGCCAGGTACCAAGAAAACTTGGATACAGCTGTTGTCGTGGCAACAAAGAAAGGTTTTGCTCTAGGTATCGGAAACTCTCTTTTGTGGTTTCTGCTTTTCCTGATGTTTGCTGGGGTCATGTGGTTTGGAATTTACCTGGTTCAAGAGGACGATCTACTGGCTGGAAGAATTTTACCTGTAAGTTTACCTTCTAAATTCACATTTCATCTGCAGCTTTGAAGGATAAATAATGCAATTTGATTATTTGTTTTATCAGTTTTATTGGATTTTTAAAAAAAATGTTAAAACCTTTTATTTTGCTTAAATAAAGTTTGTTAAAAAATTAAAAATCCATTGCTAATAAAAATTTTAAAAAATTAATTGCACTTGCAGGTTTTCTTTGGTGTGATGATTGGCTCAACTGCTCTTGGCAATGCCTTCAACAATCTTGAAAGCTTTTCAAATGCCCGGGGTGCCGCCTCTAAAATTTTTGTCATTATTTCTATGGAGCCAAAAATTGACTCTTTCTCTGAAATGGGGCTTAAGCTTTCATCTTTAGCTGGCAACATTGAATTTAAAGATATTCGGTTTGCCTACCCTGCTAGGCCTGAAGCTGTGGTAAGAATATTTCAATGTGGTTTTAGAGGCTAAAATATGTAATCCATGAAAAAGTTTTTGTGTAAAATTTGTTAATGCTTTCTATTACAAAACAAGTTTTATTTTCATTTATCTGTGCAAATATTGTATTTCAATAAAAAATATAACTTTTTTTTAACACAGGTTCTTAAGAAATTAAACTTGACCATTAATGCTGGTCAACATGTAGCCTTTGTTGGCCCTAGTGGGTGTGGCAAATCTACCTCAGTCCAGCTGATTCAAAGGTTCTATGATCCTCTAGAGGGCGCTGTAAGTATACAACTGTAGGGCCTACTATTACATTCTTTCAAGCACCAATCACATTTGTTTTGTTTATTTTTAATTTTGGTTGGCAGAAGGCTAAATATACAAATATTAAAATTTTAAAACTTTACACCTACACTAACAAACCACCTCAAAAATCAACTCAATTTGTTTTTAAGGTGTTGGTTGATGGAAATGATGTAAAAGAATTGAATTTAAAATGGCTTCGTTCAAATATTGGAGTGGTTAGCCAGGAGCCATCTTTGTTTGATGCCTCCATTGAGGAGAACATAAGATTTGGCAGGATGGATGCGACAGAACATGACATTCATCAAGCAGCCAAAGAGGCAAATGCTCATGATTTTATCATGTTACTTCCTGAGGTACTTTTTTTCTTGGGTTTACTTTTCACTTTATTAAATATCACATTTTTTATGTAGGGTTACGCATTTTTTAAATTTATTAAGTGTTTTAAAAGGATTTTTTTTAAAATGTATTTAGGGCTACAATACTATAATTTTTAAAAAAAATGTATTTAGGGCTACAAAACTATGATTTTAAAAAAATGTATTTAGGGCTACAAAACTATAATTTAAAAAAAATGTATTTAGGGCTACAAAACTATAATTTTAAAAAAAATATGTATTTAGGGCTACAAAACATATGTTTTAAAAATGTATTTAGGGCTACAAAACTAATATTTTTATAAAATATGTATTTAGGGCTACAAAACTAATGTTTTAAAAATGTATTTAGGGCTACAAAACTAATATTTAAAAAAAATGTATTTAGGGCTACAAAACTAATGTTTTTAAAATGTATTTAGGGCTACAAAACTAATGTTTTAAAAATGTATTTAGGGCTACAAAACTAATGTTTTTAAAATGTATTTAGGGCTACAAAACTAATGTTTTTAAAATGTATTTAGGGCTACAAAACTAATGTTTTTAAAATGTATTTAGGGCTACAAAACTAATGTTTTAAAATGTATTTAGGGCTACAAAACTAATGTTTTTAAAATGTATTTAGGGCTACAAAACAAATGTTGGTGAGCGAGGAGCACAACTTAGTGGAGGACAGAAACAAAGAATTTCAATAGCCAGAGCACTGGTCAGGAATCCAAAGATACTTCTGCTCGATGAAGCCACGTCTGCTTTAGATCAAGAAAGTGAAGCTGTTGTTCAAAGCGCTCTGGAAAAGGTGACTTTTAGTTAATTTAACTTGATAAGCTAATTGGACAAATTGATGTATTTATGTAATATCCAAGCTCATTTATACTTTAAAATCACACTTACATTGTACTCAACCTTAGGCCCAGCATGGTAGGACAACAATTACCATAGCACATAGGCTGTCAACAGTAAAGAGAGCTGACAAAATTGTGGCCATCAGTAATGGAGAAGTTGTTGAGGAAGGGACACATGAAGAACTTATGAAAGCTCAGGGGCTTTATTATCAATTAGTTAAAATGCAGGTTGGTTCTCATTAATTAAAAGTAATAGGCATATTATTAAATATTTTAAACTGTTTTAAAAAACAATTAAAGATTATTTAAAGAATTTTCCAAGAAAATTTTAAAGAACATATGCATTAATGGTTGTAAATATCTTGTAAAACATAAAAATAATAAAACCAAATTACTCTTTTTTTTTCAGTCAAAATTTGACAAAGAATCAGAAATAGGTAAGATTTTAAAAATCTTTTTATGCTTAACTTTACAATGAACCAGTCTACTTTATGTTCATTGTCTTTGTGATTAGTTGTCTTAATCACTTTGGTTTCTCGCATCTGTGTACTATGTTTACAATTGAAGCGTAGATTACTATGACTACATTTGTGAATCTATTATCATTTTAGTATAATCAAATTTCAATTTATTTTTTTACATGTAATTCTGTTAGTAGTAGTTTTGCCTGAAGTACTTTGAATTTTGTTTATCATAATTACAATAGTAAGTTTTACAAAACCGCCTTAGAAGGGTCAAAAGTTCTAACTTGGATGTGTGGTGAGTGGGTCATTAGTGGCTGGTACAATGGGAGTGAAAAAATCTTATTTAGTGCATTATTTTGAAATCTGCCTGGAATTACAATAGTGTTTTAGTTGACTATGTCTATAAAGAGAGAGGGCGGGCCTCAACAGTTTTTACAATATTATTAAATAAATTTAAATAAAGAAATGTAATATTCTGAAAAAAATCTACAAAATCTGATCAACCAGTTCAAGTGGAAGAGGCAATCAGTCTTTTGTCAGTTAGGGTTAAGTCCCCTAGTCCCAAGGGTAAGTCTACATTTTCCAGGTTGCCATATTGGAGGATTTGGTTTTTTTTTGTTATATTTTATTTTCCCATTATTTTTATCATTTGCTTCAGGATGCAGATATGGCAGACATTTCATTTAAAGGGTTATATAAATGAGATGTTATTCTTTTTAAAGTGGTCATTTTTATGTATGAATTTTTTATTTTCAGTAAATTAAGGTTAAGGATTTTTTTAGCTAATATTACAAGTTTTATCAGAAAAGTTTGAAGTATGTGTAGGTTTTACTTTGTCATTGGTGTGAGGGGGGGGGGGGAGGACAGCATAAAATTACTAAATATAGTTTTTAAATGTGAAGTATTCTATTAGCAACTTTAATAGTTGGGAGTAAAACATAGCTATTTTTACACAGGTAAACTTTTTAAATCTGGAAATTTATGCTAATTTAGGTAAATTTATCTTAATTTATGTAAATTAATTGAACTGAAATTTTAAAAAAAAATTACTTACTGCATGGGTCTCATATGTTTGCATGTAAGTGCTGTTTTCTTGCACGAGTTATTTGGTAAAAAATAAAATGTCACGGCTAATTAGAAGAATCGAGAATAAATAGATTAGTGAAGTTTTTCATTGCATGACTGCTTTAGCTTTGAAATGGTTTTTATTGTTTATTTTCAAACTTTGTTACATTAAATATTTTTAATTTCAATATGAAAATTTAAAAAGTTCCTTAATAGTAAATAACTCCATTGTATTATGTATTATTTTGTCAATGTTTTGAAAGTACCAATTCAGTCATTTAACTAACATCAGTATATAGATCTAGTAGTATAGGTCTACTATTTTATCATGCAACTCTATTCTTTTTTAGATGTTAGGCCTACTATACTACGTAGAAGTAATTAATTAGATTTTTACAACCACTTTACTTAGAGAGATAACTCAGCTATAATGGTTGCATCAAATATCAAATTATTTTTTTTCTAGATGTTTCTGATGTAGAGATTGTTGAGGAAGCAGATGGTGATGGTGAGTTTGGTGAAGAAGAGCTTCTGAGATCATCATTCAAGAAAAAAATAAACAAACAAGACAGTGTCATTGAAAAAGAGATTAATCTAGTTGCCAGAAACAGCTTCAGAAAATCTAAGAAGAAATCCAAGAAAGGGAAAGATGAAGTAAGTGTTGTGTTAAGAAGTAGAAAAATACTTTGATATAAGAAAAAAAATGAGTTACATACACATTTTGTTTGATTTAATATTATGTTGCTAAATGTGAAATTTTCAAATGCAGAAATCTGGAGAGGATGAGATTGAAAGTATTGGCATGGCTAAAGTTATGCAGTTCAATGCACCTGAATGGCAGCTGATTGTCTTAGGGTGTATTGGATCTATCATCGCTGGGGGCATTCACCCTGCATTTTCATTTCTTCTCAGTGAATTTATCAAGGTAGGATTATATTCAATAAATTGTTTTTTAAAAAAATCATTTTAGCTAATGCTTTTTATAATAATAGAATTTGCTTTGCTTAAAACTTATAAAATTTTGTGTTTCAGGTTTTTGGAGTGAGAGATCATGCAGAGCAGTGGCGCCAAACCCATGTGTTGGCTGGCATTGTCATTGCTGCTGCCGTAGTCTCTGCTGTTGTCAGAATGTTGCAGGTAGGGTTTTATATTTTTAAAATAAATCTAGCTTTACTTATTAGTTTTAAATTGATTCTTTATAATGGTTAGCAAGAGAAAGCTAGCTTTATGTAACATTAGTTTATAGTTATTTTTCTCGATTAACATTTAACCACATTTTATTTATTGGTTATTTTGCTGTAGGTTTAGCATTATAAAAGAAGAAATATTAATGTAAAAATGTAATTTATTGCTACAGTATTAATATTCAATTCAATATATTTTTAAACATATTTTCTCAGGGCTATTGCTTTAGTAGATCTGGAGCTTTGCTAACAGCTCGTCTTCGTGGTCTGACCTTTGCTTCTATTATAAACCAAGTGAGTTTTTCTTTTCTTAATTGTCATTTTCTTATCTTTGTTAATTTGAAATCTTGATCAAGTATTTTTCCACACTAACTACTTTTTGTGTCAACATAAAAAAAAAATTATTAAAACAATAATTCTCTCCACTATTCGTGTTCAGGACATGGACTACTTTGACTTACCAAACAACCAGGTTGGAGCTCTAGCTACCAAACTTTCTGGAGATGCTGCAATGGTGCAGGGGGTAAGGAGAATGTTTTAATATATTGAAAAACATGAGTTGTGTAGATCATTTACATAAACATTTAACTATCAATATCATTATGTAAAAATTATTTCTGTCCCTATAAATGTACTAATTAATGGTGCTCATATTCTTCCAGGCAACAGGTTCAAAGATAGGCCAAATGCTTGAGGCAGCTTCAACCATTGTGTGTGCTCTTTGCATTGCTTTTATCTTTGGCTGGAAATTAGCCTTTGTAGTTTTGTCCTTCATGCCTCTGATGATTATTGGTGGGGTCATTCAGGGCAAAGTAATAGCTGGTGCTGCAAAGAAGGACAAAGTTCAGCTGCAACAAGCTGGCAAGGTTGGTGGCCAGATTTCTTTTGATTCTATTATTTGCTGACAGATTTCATTATTTTATTTTAATAGTTAACAAACCTTACGTCGTGTCTTTATTTATTACTAAAAATGTATCTGCTTCTTAACCCTTTGAACCCTGAGCTCCTGAACCCTGAACTCCTGAACCTAAAATCCCTATGTGTAATAACATTGAATTTAATTACATAATTTGATTCATTAGTTTTTTTCAATGATTGTGTGAATTTTTCATTTTGTGGTTTTCAGATCTGCTCAGAGGTTGTGGACAGTATTAGAACTGTTGTGTCTTTGGGGAGAGAAGATTACTTTGTGAGAACCTTTGATGCACTGATAGATTTCACTAGAGCGTAAGTATATGTCATACTTAAGTTAATTAAAATTTGTGTGTATTAATTGTAAAATTAACTTTACACACTAACATAATGTTACACTTACATTGTGTAAAATGTGGTTGATGGATTTGATGCAGCATTGTTAATACTTTCATCTAGTATAATACTAACACAGTTTGACCTGTATATTACAGATCAAGCAGAAAAATGTCTTTTGTGTATGGCATCACATATGGAGTTGGTAACTGCATAATTTTCTTTGCTTATGCTGTGGCTTTTTATTATGGCTCAGTCCTTGTCAATGATGGTGAAATGGAATTCTTTGAAGTATTTAGGTAGGAAGCTAAAAATTTGATTGGAGTTAAACTATTTTATTTTTCTTGCCCTTTTTAGACTTTATTTATCTTATTTTAAAAAAATATAAAAATTATTAATTTTCTAATAAATGATTATACAGAGTATTTGCTGCCATTATTTTTGGAGGGATGATGATAGGAAGACAGTCATCATTTGGTGCGGACTACACAAAAGCTAAAATAGCAGGTGCTCGCATCATTAGTATCATCAACAGAAAGCCAAAGATTGATGTCAGGGAGACAAGTGGGCAGAAAATTGTGAGTTTAAAAAGTTCAACATCTTCACTTTACTTGTTCAAACTCTTAAGTTTAAATTTGATAGTTTCAGTTAATTTTTTCTCACAGATTATAATTATCTAAAATCATGATTTTAAATATCTGTTTAATTCTGGCCTTTTTTTTACAACTAGTTTTAAAGACTGAAGTTAAAAATATGAACTAATGTCCAACCTGACTCTTGAGATAACAAAAATAATGTTTATTTTCCAGGCCAATTTCAGTGGGTGTCTGCAGCTAGAGAATGTCAACTACTTTTATCCAAGTCGACCCAACGCTACAGTTCTAAATGGTCTGAACCTGACCATTAATTATGGTGAGACCGTTGCTCTTGTTGGTGCTAGTGGCTGTGGGAAAAGTACCACCGCCCAACTGATTGAAAGGTTCTATGATGTTGTCCAAGGGGCACTGGTAAGATTTCAGAGTTGAACATTTATTTTATGATAATCTTTGGACTGTTATTTAAAGAATTACATTTTTAGTGTGTGTTTTTTTCAAGCTGTTATAAATAAATGCCAATTTTTTATCCTTCCTATCTAGCTGGTGGATGGGCATGATGTAAAAAATCTGAACTTGGCCTGGTACAGACAGCAACTTGGTATTGTATCCCAGGAGCCCACACTGTTTGACTGCAGTATCGCAGAGAATATTGCTTATGGGGACAACTCCAGGATTGTTCCCATGGCAGAGATCATAGAGGCAGCAAAGAAAGCAAACATTCACACTTTTATATCCAACCTGCCCCAGGTGAGCTCTTCACAGCTTAAAGTTTAAATTTGTACATTTTTAAATCAAAATGTTTATTTCAAGCCCTTGTAATTATGTAATTAAGAATCTTTGTTAACAAAACTCCATTTATCTAATTCAGGGTTATGACACAAATGTAGGGGAGAAAGGGGCACAACTGAGTGGTGGACAAAAACAGAGAATTGCAATTGCTAGAGCCCTTGTTAGAAACCCAAAAATACTTTTACTTGATGAGGCCACATCAGCTTTAGATTCAGAGAGTGAAAAGGTATGTAAAACAAAAATGTACCATGATACACTTAGGTCTAACTACATTGTTTGTGTTATTAAAATAAAATCCCACATTTTTGAAAACTAAAAATGATTTTTTATTACACTATCAAATGGAGTTAATTTTTAAAAAACATGTTTTCAAATAAAACAGGTAGTCCAAGATGCTTTAGACATTGCCAGCCGTGATAGAACTTGTGTAACAATCGCTCACCGTTTGTCCACAATTCAAAACGCCAATAAAATTGCTGTCTTCAGCAAAGGAAAAGTCATTGAAATTGGCAACCATCATCAGTTGTTTGCTGCCAAGGGAGCTTACTACAGATTGTTAATGGCCCAAAATAGGCCACACAAAACATCTTAAGGAATAACAACTCTCAACCTGACACGTTGACAGGAAAAAACTTTAAAAAATGGCAGACATGTTGTTTTGACCGTAATTGTTTCAAGTAAATTTGAGCTAATTGATTGCACAAAAGCAGATCAATATAAACAGTTATGAAAAGTAAAAAAATGCCTGAAAATTCATCTTCCCTGAAAAACAATCTGGCAAGTCACAGTAAGAACATTGAAACTCTCTGGATGACATTGTTTTATCTGGATTGAATTTGTCAAACTAACGATACTTATGTAGTTTAATAGCTGTTCAGACTTTGCCGACTAGTTGAACTCATGTTGTTAATGTTGAACAGATATTTTTATTATTGTATACTGAATCTCAAGTATATGGTTTCAAATGTATATGTATGTTATTTTTTTGAGAAAAGTGTACAGATTATTTATTTATTGACAACTTTGTGACTACTGTGATTGACTTTATTTGATGACTCTCTAATCTTTTGTCTCATTTCACAGGAATTTAATTTAACATTTGTTGTTGTTGGCCTGTTGCTTGCCATAGAAGCCACTAGATCATTGCAATCTAAATGTTTATCTATAGTTAAAAGCTGTGTATTGTCAGTGGGTATTAAATTACATTTATAACGGGTATTTCTAAATAACTCACTAGGTGAAACTAAGAGTAAAATGGACTCAACAAACACTAGCAATGCAACAGAAACTGATATTATTTCAAAATGTACCACCTCAAAGGTACAAACTGAAGAAGAAAAACTTGTAAATAAAGCTATATAGATCAAATAGTGATGCAATAAAGAAAAAAACAAGTAATAAATGTAGCTATATAGATCAAGTAGTGATGGAATAAAAGAACAACTAGTAAATGTAGCTATATAGATCAAATAGTGATGCAAAAAGTAATCTTGTAAATGTAGCTCAGCGGGGGCTTTTTTTCACATTGGCTGTTTAAATTAAAAACTACAAAATAATAACAGCATTTTAATAAAAAGAAATGGAGTAGTAAAAACATAGCATAAATATGCATTCAAAGATTTGGAATAAAGAAATAATATTACATTGCTATAATACAAAATGAGATACAATGAGAATATAATAGATGAATGAGAAATGTTGCAATGAGTCAGTTAAGGAGGTCATTAAATAATTGTTGTTTTAGTTTAGTTTTGAAAATTAAGAAATGTAGGTGTGTAGCTCAAGTAGTGATGTGTTCAAGTAAATGTGTGTGTATGTGTGTATATAGCTCAAGTACTGATACATTGAAAATGTTTTGGTGTTTTTCTAGCACCTGCCTAACTTTGTGTACACAAAAAAATGTTAAATCCATGATTATGTAAAAAGTATTCATGTACATTCCATAGAAACTTAAAGACAATGTTTAAATTATTATAACTTACTGTACATACATTTTTGTTACTAAATAAATATGTAAATTAATATTTAATTTCATGCTTGTTTCCAGAATGTTTTCCAATGTTTCCTAAAGGCCTGAATGTTTTTAAAAAATGTTTTCTTGAATGTTTCCTAAATGCTTTCTTGATTTATTTATTAATTTTTTAATGTTTCTTAGATGTTTTTGAATGTCTGAATTACTTGCTGCGGACTATTGTATTTTCTGTGTGAACGTCTGATTAAAATTAATATATTGTTTTAATTTGAGAAATCCAGTTTAACCAACAGATGTTAACAAAAATGTTAATAAAATTTATCATAAAAAACTGTTGGTTTCTATTGTGTTAGTTGACTTGTAATGTGGATTGCATCTCTGGTTGACCGAAAGAATAATTGCTAACTGTAGACTACATAAGCTTGTAGTTCAGGCTAACTGTAGACTACATAAGCTTGTGGTTCAGGCTAATTATAGACTACATAAGCTTGTAGTTCAGGCTAATTGTAGACTACATAAGCAGGCTAACTGTAGACTACATAAGCTTGTAGTTCAGGCTAACTGTAGACTACATAAGCAGGCTAACTGTAGACTACATAAGCTTGTAGTTCAGGCTAATTGTAGACTACATAAGCAGGCTAATTGTAGACTACATAAGCTTGTAGTTCAGGCTAATTGTAGACTACATAAGCAGGCTAATTGTAGACTACATAAGTTGTAGTTCAGGCTAATTGTAGACTACATAAGCTTGTAGTTCAGGCTAACTGTAGACTACATAAGCTTGTAGTTCAGGCTAATTATAGACTACATAAGATTTGCAGTTCGGACCCAATTAGAAACAGTGCAAGCCTCTACACAGGTATTCCACTAGCAGTGTTTCTTCCAGAATTTTTTTTCTCCGGGGGGGGGGGGGACACTTGAAATTTTATTTGGGGGGGGGGGGGCGGTAGACTTTCTTCGGGGATGGGGGTGGGTACTGTTAAAAATATATTTTTTCTATATAAATTTCATTTCGTTCGGGGGGGGGGGAGATGCCTGGAAGAAACTCTGTCCACTAGAGCCACAGAGGAATGTAGCCGCGTAGCTGATACCACGACCACAAGGTAGGCGAGTTTATGACGTATCAGGTCAGAGGTTATTTAGATGCTCTCACTGACCCTAGTTGACTTGTAAATGTGGAGGGGTGCTCTGGTTTCATGCGGCCATTCGGGCAGTAGAGTCGTATGACGCGGCTGTTGCAGATGTAGGATAGAAAGATGAAAACGCCCTGAAGGCCATTCAACACAATGGCGATAAATCTTAGGGGATCGTTTTCTAGACCTTCTGCCAAGATGGAGATGACCCAGAAAGCTCCAGTGATGGTCGATAATTTGATGTACACGTACACATTTTTGTGGTCTTCTTTTTTAAAGTTGTCGGCACTCTGAAGCTTGCGAATCTTGTGGATTTCGAAAACAGTCTTCGAGAAAAAGATGGTGTTTAAAAGTAGAATAACGGCAAGCGGGGCTACAAGGGAAACGGCTACCAGAAGTCCGGTGTTGAGGTAGCAGGCGGACTGGCCGTAGCCAATAGTAACACCACCGGAAGTGACGTATTGACTCACAATGACGGTGATGATTATAGCGACAGGCACGGCAATGCAAAACAAGACCTTCTTGATGATATTAACTCGTTGCTTGCTAGCAGAAGTGTGGCCTAGTCCAGTTTTGGAAGTAAAAGTCCGGAACATGTGAAAACAACAGACCAGGCTCCAGCAGAAGACGTGGAGCCAGAGGAAGTGTGTGGACACGCCCAGGATGGTGCAGACGGTACCGTGACCTCGGACATGTGTGATGGTCAGCAGCAGAGTCTGGGCGAGCAGCAGACTCCCAGACAAGAACATGTTGTGTATGCCCGCTGTGCTGCGTAGCTCACCAAACAGGAAGTACGTCATTAAAGTCGCGGCTAGGAAGAAAACAGACAGGCACATACAGCATAGGGTAAGGATATACTGGGTGTATGGCACCAAGCCCTGAACTTTTGAATTACTGATGCTTGACAATTGGTCCTGTAGTACATTCTTGCACACGCATAAAGTTTCGTTGTCGCACTTGACGATAAAATACAATTGCTGATTCGAGAAATAGATCTGCTGCTTGTTGACATAGAGCAGTGGTTCCCAACCTTTTTCGAGTGGCGACCCCCTTTTATAAAAAGTAAGTGACCCGCGACCCCCATAGAATTAAAAATTAGTATAGAAATTAATAAGCAATAAAATAAGATTTTCTAGTAGACCTTCAATATGAACAACTCTTGATAACTATTTTAATAGCATGAGTAAAATTGCATACTATTCACTAAACCTTCGTGGTTAAGTTTTTAATTAAAAAATTTTTTTGTTAACGCCAACCTATGTCATTATAATTATTTTAATTTTGTTTTTAATCGAAGAATAGTGTTGAAAATATATTCTCAAAAAGTCAATCAATTTTACGTTTGGGTATGAATGGTGAATACTAAACCAAAATTGTGTCTGCAGTTTTTCATCTTACTCGGAATCATTCTGCAAATCAAAGAATTAATCTTGTAATTCATCGGGAATGCTGGCAACATCAAGGGAAGAAGAGAATGGGTAATGCGTAAATACATATTCTTCTTTTTTCAGCTCAGAGAAATAGCGATGCAGTTCGTTTTCAGAGATTCAAGATGCCCAGAAATCGCTTCTTTCAAAATTTTAATTATCTCACAATCAGATTCATCTACCACACCGCAGAGTTTCTCAAATTTACAATATTTCCAAGAATTATTTTCTTACCGATTTTGCAGCTTTGATAAAAATGCCCCGAGATTATCATGGAAAATTGTAATATTCGTTCATTTTCCCTGAAGCTTCAGTTTAAGCTTATCTTGATGTTCGAACACATCTGCTAGGTATGATACTCTCTCCAACCACTCTATGTCGTTTTAAGTATACCAAAAAGTCTTGTTTCCTTTGCACTTCCAAGAACAATTTGATTTCAGATTTCAATTAAAAAACACAATTTACAACATTTCGTTTGACAGCCAGCGTACTGTAGTGTAGAAGAGCAGAACCTCGTGATCTATATTAATGCTTTTGCTCAGTTTTTTGAAGGCTCCAGATTTTATATAATTTACGACTTATACTAGCAATGGACTCTTGATGTCGATTGGTTAGTGCAGTGGTTAGGGAGCTAAATCTTTTCTGTTTTCTGAAAGCCCGATTTTGAGCTAAACATAGATGGCGCACCATCCGTACAAACCCCCATAGCCGTTCTAACCCATTTTAATCATCCAATTTCAAAAAAGGTATTTATTTTCTCCATGCTATCTTCACAAAAGAGCAACTCTTCTTTGCTATAGCCCGCATGAATATAGACACAGACCAGCAACTGCGAACACGAACTCACGTCTGTTGATTTATCAACTTGAAAGGCAAACAATGTTTTATTTAACATTTACGTACATGCAGCGTTTGGTGAGATTTTCTCCTATTTTTTTTTTTTTTGCTTGGCATTGTCTATCGCGACTTCATTTGATGCTTGCACTAATGCTGGTGAAAACTTCCTGTTCGATCAAGTCTCTGGCGTTTGCAACTAGCTTCTTACCGACGAAAGAACTCCATATATTTTCTGGTGTGTTCCGAATGACTCGTCTCAAATGGCGTTTTAGTTTTGAAGATTTCATAGATTCGTTACTGAGAACAACTTTTTTACAGTGCGCTTTGTTTCTTCTCTATTACATTTCCAGTGATGCTAATGAAGCCGAATTTAAAAAATGCTTCTAAATATTTATGTTTTGTTTCAAATTTCTAAGGTTTAGTAAACCAGTTGGCGACCCCCCAGAAAGACCTTCGCGACCCCCAGGGGGGTCGCGACCCCCAGGTTGGGAACCCGTGACATAGAGCATAACGTGCAGGCTGCCATCTGGCTGATGCTGCAGTGTGTAGTCGGGCTCTGTGAAGACAACATACGAGCAGGACAGCAGCGACGTCAGGGGCAAGAACTCCTGCAGAATGTTCCAGACCTCTAGTCGTGACAGAGTTATGCTAGGATAGAACAGATATTTGTTGGAGGTGACCGTAGTGTTGGACTCAGGAGAGTGAGGTGCTAGACTAGGCATGGGTGTGAGCAGAACCCTGACGCCATTTTCTGTCGTTACCGTGGCGTTTCGCTGTAGGAAGTTTGTCACAAAGTAGGCCTCAATTTCATCTCGCCCCAGCGATTGGTTGGCTGTGAAGTGGAGGTCAATCAAGCACGCAAACGGTCGGTGCAAGCCTGTAGAGCTGCTAACATTAGACGAGGTGTTTAAGCTCTTCAACGCTAAAGTTAACGAAAGTATAGCGTCTGTTGATTTACCACCCAGTACGGATTTGACCCAGCCTTCAATAGCTGAGATAAACTCGCGGTGAGCGTTGCTGTGCTGGTGGTGTATGCTGGCGTTGGAGTCCATCAGATGAAGGGAGTACCAGAGCTTATGGCGGTACCACAGACCCGTGATGGCCGGCACAGCTGTGGAACATTGACCGTTGACAAAAGCTTTACCAGGTGAGCATTGTAACGGTCGGCACGTGTCGTCGTGACCTGTCCAACAGCTGGGGTCGGATGACGTCACGGATTGGGCTGTAAACCCCAGTAAAATGGTGAGCGGAGGCGTCAAGTCTAAAAATTCCGGTGATCTACCCCCACAGCTTCCTCTTGTAAAGTACGTCGGTGTGTGGTCCATGTTACACACAGCACAAAAAATGTTTTGATACACGATGTTGTTATATTTAACTTTGTACGCGTGACCTGAGATCTCTGCGCATGCGTCTTCTACCATGACGTCACGTTCTGCCCAGTTTCCAGTGACGTTGCACTGGTCAACGACAGGGCCGAACCAGGAGGTGTGGCATTCTGCGAGCGTGTCCTTCGGGTGCCAGGTGGGGCTGCTGGACAACGTACAGGAAGAGTTGGGGGACAGGCTCAAGGTCAGGAGTTCCTCTTGATTCATGGCCTGGTACACGCGCAGGTAGTGCTCACACAGCACGTGCAGGTGCCAGCTGGTTAGCTGGAACAGAATGTGGAGTCACGTGAGACAACCTGGTGCTGGGGCGAGGGGGTGGGGGTCCTATAGTAGGCTACACACGACACTTAATAACTCTACAAGGGACTGTGACGTGTGTGTGTGTGTGGGGGGGGGGGGGATGCTGTCTATAATAGGCTACACACGTCACTTAAGTCTACAAGGAACAGGAACGTGAGGGTGGGCGGGGGGGGGGGGGTGGTCCTATCGTAAGCTACACACGTCACAACTCTACAAGGGACTGTT